GTGTAGTTTGGGTTGCACTGGGGTGGTTTGGCAGCCCATTCAAAATAAATGGGCTGCCTTAACGTAGTGCCCGTTAAGACAGGTCATAACGCACAGATGTAATCCTCTTCTAAGAGTATCAAGGGTGCCAAAAAGCACATCATGCGCCACATCAGTTACTCCTGGTGCACATTCACACTTTGGATGCTATATTTGTTACTCAAGCAGTTACTTTTAAGGCCCATTCACACTTGGGATCCAATGCACTAATGTCTGTAAACTGAGTTTTAGCTCTAATTTAACAGCAACCCAATGCAGTAAGGGAAAGCGTAGAAGCATATTGCCAGATTGTACACTGAGCTGCACATGCGTGGCTCAGTGTACATGTTAAAGAAGTTTGAGGAGACAGGTATAGTTAAAGTATGTATACTGTATATACCTTTATAGACTTACGGGTACATTTATCAATCTTCATCCAATAACACCTTTATTGACATTCATCAAATCGAATAAAGCGATGTTTTAGGACCACGCAGGGTCCCTTCATCAGGCATATTGTAACAAAGGGTCACGTGTCTGATGAAGAGACCCTGTGCAGTCTCAAAATGTCACTTTTTCTGACATGATTGAAAGTCACTAAAGATGTTATTGGGTGAAAATGCATTCGTGTTCTGGTGACATATTTTGTTCCTGAATTTCTGCCGTGTCAACCGTGAGGTACTTCAGCACCCGAAAAACAAGGGATGTATCGATGAGGAATGCGGTGGGATATATACATGATTATGTATTTTATAAACCTTTCACATGGAAAATAGCTCTGTGAATGAGATTCACACCACATTATAGTCACTAGATAGCGTCAGGGAGCATAGACATTTCCTATTTTCCATCTGGTGTCCATGATGTGCTGCAAATCTCTTTCGCAGAGCCATTTGCTGTGTAAAAGGTTAATAAATACACTTCATAGCATGTATCTTCTGCAATAATAATCATAAACCTGCCCGTTCACAAATTATTGTTTCAAAGCTAACGTTCCACAGGCACTATTGGGATGCAAGAATTGGAATACCGGTTCTTAAATAATAACTGCACAGGCTTACTCATGAAATATTTATATGTGCACGTAAGGGATGAGATGTTTCCTGAAGTGTGACAGTCCCTACCCTGTCACCTGAGTTTCTGCTCGCAGTCGCCCAACCTAGTTCCTGGTGTGCACAGCATTACCGAAAAACAGATGACAAAGGTTTAGTACAACGTAAACAACCACAGCGATCTGTTAGTTGGTACTGTGCACACTTCATTGACAGGAGTGCTGTGGAAAGCTTTAACAAAAGGATGTAGCAATGGTTTAAAATAATTTAAAAAAAACAATTATCTTGTAACAAATAATATTTAATGTTATAATACCTAAGGTTTTATTTTAAACCAAAGAATTGCTCCAACTTCCCTTGGGAATTCAGAAAGTAAATTGATATCCACCTTTACAGCATTATTAATAACAACTGCCCAGAGAATGTTGTTATACTTCCTCTGCAGGACGTGTGAGGCTGAAATTATTGTTTCTCAAACCATTAAGTAAAATAGAAGCATCTTCTGCACATTGACAGCACCTAGCAGGAACCTCCAGGTGGGTGGTCTATTATTCAGTATTCTGGGCGCTCCAAATTCCAGCCATTGTGATACACACTGGACGCACCTCCTAAGAATCGCATTTGAAGCCACCCTTCAACGTGATTGTCCAATAGCGAGGGATGAATAGAAGGGGCAGATGTTTAACCCAAGAAACTATGTAAATAAGCATATATCAGATACTCGAGTTTGGGCAATTACATTAAATAATGGGCCTAAAGTCCCTGTAAAGTGTTGTCAGTATGGATTCTTAAGGTGGTCATACACTTTACAACCATCGCAAGACCTTAGTCTTGCGATGGTTGTAAAGTAATTTAAAAAACATATGATCTGCCCATCTTGGACAAGCAGATCGTACTTGGGGCGGGCTTCGGATGACCGCAATGCTGAACAGGCAGTGTGCGTGTGCACACACCGGCCTGTTCGGCATTTGTCTCCCGAGCATCATTCAAACCAGCCGAAAATCGTACGATTTTCGGCTAGTTTTCTAGCATGCTCCTAAAGATGGCCATACACTTTACAATTTATCTGCAGATTTTCTGTGGTCAGATTCCTCCATCTACACTTAACTGTGTGGCTGGAGTAATCTCCACCTGGGCCAATCTGTTGCACTTTTTCCATCTGACCACAGAAAATCTGCAGATAATTGTAAGGTGTGTGGGCACCTTTAGACAAAAGACATGCGACCGTACAGTAGAAACGGTTGCACGTCTTCATTTACACTTGAAGTATAGTAAAAGGTGCCCATACACTGCACGATTCTCGTACGATCGTTTAATTTTCATTGCCGGCTACCTGATAGACATGTGTACACTACAAAATGTTGGTAGCAACTACATTTTAGTTGCTAATGAAATTCCATTTACATCTTGCTGCTGGTCAGAAGCTAGAATCCACAGCCGGTAGCTACATGTAAACAATGGGCAGTGGGAAGGAGCAATAGCCAGCCTGCTATTGGCTATTTCAAATTGCATAAGCCAATTGCAGGATGGCTATTGCACCTGCCCACTGCCAATGAGCAGACCTAAAAGAGAAAGTTATTTCTCATGTCCACGCCTCTGCTCATTGATAACAGGCAGTGGACGGGTGCAATAGCCAGCATGCAATTGGCTATTGGAATTTGAAACTGCCCGCTGTTTACATTCACCTGCCGGCTGCAGAATCTAGCCAGCAGATGAACGGGGCCGCAGAGGGTGTCTTGAGAGTTAATAGTTGACTCAAGCAACCAGAAACTACAACTATCCAGACATATTAGTTATTGGGACAAATACGGCCATAATTTGGTAGCAAATTTGGATATATATTTTTATTTCCTTGTTTTTTGTTGGGAATACATAGTAAAAAAATAGGACAAATTACAGAAAATATTTTTTTCTTCTAGAGCAGTGTTTACATAATTTACACACTCCCATATATTTACCAAATAAAAACTAAACAAAAAAGCTGCTGATTAAAATGTCACATTGGTGCAACTTATGTAATGTAACAGGAGATCACAGCTAAAAATGAACATATGCGTTTTACTTTAGGAGAACGCTATTCCCCTTTTGTCGCTATACTGTGATGCATGTAGGAAAAAAATACATTTGGTAAACTTAGCAGAATTGAGGGTGGCACATATTAGCACAAAGGCGACTTTGTTAGGTTTGCAACTTAAACAATTTAAATGACATTCAGATTTTTTGACATATTTGCGACCTTGAGATTCCTTTTGGGAGGAAATACTTTTAGGAGATCGACATCTATATGTATCTAGTTTACTGGCCGACATCCCGTATGCCAGTCCAATATGGTAGGATCTGCAGCAGTTTTCTGTATGGGAAAACTGTCTTTATCACATTAATTAGGCATTAGTCTCCGTTTCACTCTGAAATAGAAATTGCTGCACCAGTTTAATAGCACAGGAAGCTTAAATTCCCCAATTTCTACATATATTTTTTAATACTTTTTCATGGGGGTCTGGCTCTTGCCTTTGGAAACCTGATCCAGAACCTCCCCCACCCCAATGCAGTCAGCGATAGATCACCAATGGCAGTGACCTACTGCTGGATAGAGCCGGAACAACTCTGCCCAAGCCTCTGTACAGACAGAATGCACCATAAAGTAACTATACTCCCACTGTAAACAAAATGCGAATAAAAACAAAAACCCAACAAAACACTATGCTCCTCTTTGCAGCTGTGACAGCCCAGCGGTTTCAGCATTAGTGCCAGGGGATCAGGGACCCACAGAAGCCACTGTGTCCGAACACCATTTCTATACAGTGCCTGGATTCAAGTGGTTAAAGCAGAACTCTAGCCAAAAGTGTTTTTAACCCTGGCAGTGGGGTACCCCCGCACTGCAGGGATAAAGTGCTCATTGTTGTCTAGGTGCTAAAAGTTATACTCACGCGAAATGTGGAGCTGGCTGGCTGCTACGCCGGTCCCTTAGGCCTGTATTCTCCTCTGCTTCAGCGATGGTATATCCCTCTGCATCCTCACGTCATTATATATAGATCATGATCCCTAGACTGCTGCAGCCGGGTGGGACTTGGGCTCCAGGGACCCATTTAAAAGCAAGCCGGCTCAAAGGATTGGGTGCATACAACTTTTTTTTAGCACCTAGAGAACAATGAGCATTTAACACTTGCAGTGTAGGGGTAGACCAACAGCAAAGGTTTAGAAGACATCCCCAGAGTTCTGCATTAAAGAATGATGGTGACCTCTCATACCAAAACACAGTTAAAAAGCATCCTCCACCCACGTTGAATATGTTGTCTTCTAACAAACTACCTACACAATAATAATTTAAAACAAAATATTCTGATTCTTGCATAGTGCTAACTATAAACTCCCATGCCTTCCGCATAGCAGTCTTGTGTAGGGTGGCCTTTATGAACCAGTGACTACTCAACTGTTGTGAATGCACAAGCCCCAGCATACCCACCTCCCACAGTTGTATAGAAGAATTGGCCAACACATGACTAAGAGTAAGCTCTTGGTGGGAAGATGATTTAAAGCAGCGCTAAGCCACCTCAGCAGTGCAGCTGTTTTGAAACTGCAAGTCCCATGAGGCATTGCAAGACTGATAGTCACAGGCATGATGGGACTGGTAGTTCAGCACAGCTGGAGTGCCAAGGTTGCCTATCCCTGATGCACAGTATGCAATACCTACAAACACAGACCGTAAAAAAAGTCAGCCTATGGGGGTCTTTCACACAGACAGTGAATTGAAGCCTCACACTTTTGAAGATTGCCCTTTAATTTATTTCTACGTTTTATAGTAATCTTTATAACCGTCTACAGGTCTTGCACATAGTTCTTGATGAAACAATTCTCGACAAATGGCTTTTAGATTCCAGATGTACACGTTACTTATTTCTACATTCTCATAGAAAGCCTGACGGTGATTTATTCAGTCATAAAAATAAGTTTAGCTATCAACGCAAAAAGCAGTCTATTGATCATGAAACCTCTTCCAAGTAATCTGCAACATCACTTATATGAGATATAGAATTGTCTAAAGTGAAATCCTCCAGTTTATTGTCACTACCAGTTAGGTCATCAACGGACAATTCCTCTTCTAGATCCTCCCCAATGCTGACTTCACTTTTATCCGAGCGCTGGCTCGTGCTGTTAAAGTCATCAGCATATTCATCCTCATTACCGCCTCCTAGTTCAAGGGAAGCCATTTTCTCTGAAGCGGATCTCAGGTCCCTAAAGGAGCTATGCAGGCTGCCCTCAATGATATTGGGTGCCTCTGAATGGGAGTTGGGCTCCGACCTGTCAGCTCGGGAATTTAGGAGGGCCGAAAGGCTCCCGTTAGGCTTGCTAGCTTCTTCCTTCCAGCCATAGATTTTCTCTGGTTTAGGAATAGGATCATCAAAGAAAGAATCTTCATGCGGGTCATCTTCATCCAGTTTGTGGTCCTCGTATTCTTCATAACTCAGCTGGTGATCATCTAGTTTGGGCTGTGGCTTTAGAAAGCTGCCTGCTGGGTGGTTGTCAGGGCTCATCATGGAGAAGGAGTTGTCTGTCCTGGTATGGAGCTGTAGTTTGGATGAGGGATGGATGAGATCAGAAACCTCCTGGACCACAACACTCCTACCTTGGATGAACAGACGCCGGTACATGGCAAGGAACTCCTTCTGGTCTATGCCACTGCTGAAATCTCTATCGGCCGATGTGAACTCATCATTTACGTATCTGTCCAGCATGTCCCTGTGGAAGTGAGGGAACAGATCCACAAACAGCTCCCTCAGCTCCCCTTTGCTGATCTCCCCATTCTTGTCCCGATCATAGAGCTCAAACTTGGCCTGTGCCTCTGCCATGTGCCCTGAGGGAAGCCCCTGCTCTGGCACTCCATTCAATGGAGCTTCCCTATGCCGGAAGCGTTTGATCAGCTCTAGGAGTAATGGGCCACCCTTCTCGGCCTCAGGTAGCCCCAGCTCTTCGGCTACATGAGCCCGATCATCAGCTGTGCTGGTCAGGTTGGCTTCAGGCTGGAGCACGGCCAGGGTAAAGTCTAGATGGAAGTGCTGCAGGAAGTCCGTGACCAGGCCGGCAACCAGGCGGCCCTCCCTGCTGTTCAAGAAATGCAGGAGCCTCTCATTGACCAGCGTGGGCTTGTTCTCCGGCCGCTCCTGCTCCTCCAGAGCCAGGAAGACCGAGGCTCGCAGCTCCGCTTTGATCTTGTTCAGCACGCCGTTGTTCTCCAGCGTATGGATCAGCAGATCCCTCAACTCGGTGTCCTCGTCAGCGGCTGACATGTCGCCGGCTCCTGCGGCCGTAGAATAAGGCACTGGTACTCCAATCCGTCCGGAACACTCAACGTCACCGGAACGTCCAATCCTGGGGTCGGTAGCTGTCAGGAAGCTGATAAAGACGCTGCGGGCGGAGCACGTGACATCACAGAAGCGCCAGGTTTGAGCGCCAACCTGTATGAGTCTGTTTCCATGCGCTTGTATCCTAGCAGCACGCAGCTCCGCCCCTTTCAGGCGTTGTGTGGAGTAGTACGATGAAGAGGATGCATCGATTCGCTCGGCTCAGCGGCTGATTCTGCCTGATGAGCAGTGTTTTCCTGCTCAGCCCTCCCCGCGTTCCCCGGGCGCCTGGCAACCGAGCGGCGCAGAGCGTGGCAGCGAGACCGGGGGGAGCGGCTAGCTGTGGGAGCAGGTGAAGGGACGGGGCCACCGAAGCAGGTGAGGAGCCGGGATGGAGGTGGGCGCGGCTTGCTGTAAGTAGTCTTGGCCGCAATGAAGATCACTGACTGCTACCCTGCACCCCTTCTTGTACAGCCTGGCTTATCAGCCGGCGGTCACTGGCGGGGAGTCCTGGCACCGGGTGCGGCCTGGATGTGAACGAGGTGGGTTGTAGTCCACTGACACCCCTCTTCCTGAAAAGCTGATGGTCCTCTCATGTACGTCTGTGTGATGCTTCTTTATTTCACTGGTATGATGAATTAGAAAGAGAACCAATCAGGGCTGGGTTTATACTGGAATTTGATTATTCGGGTAAACTGGGATTATAATTTAGGATCAGATCTAAATCTTTCCACCTATTCAACCCTATTGAATACTGACCCCTGTCAATGTATGACAGTCGCTGTCCTGTCAATAACCTGACTTTACCAGCTTGTGAATATAGGGCAGGATAGTGCCTGTCACACTTCAGGCGACCAAAGCTGAAGTGTCAGACTTCAATTGCTAAAGATAGTGGCAAGCATGCCAATTTCATAAGTAAGCCTTTCTAAGACTAGGATCTAGGAATGCATTCCTCCCAGCGATAGGAGACCAACAGCTTCTCAGGAGGAAGGGTGTCAATGAACAGATCTAGGAAAGTTTTCCTTACCTTCTAGAGATAGGAGGACCATCAGCTTCTCAGGAGGAAGGGTGTCAATGAACAGATCTAGGAAAGTATTCCTTCCCTTCCAGAGATAGGAGGACCATCAGCTTCTCAGGAGGAAGGATGTCAATGAACGACTCTAATAGGGTTATTCACAAAAGGTGAAGAGTTTGGAGAAAGCAGGAGAAGTGATCAATCTAGTACAACATATCTGAACTGGAAAGTGAGCTGAATTGGAGAATTTTTACAAATCAGCTATGTTGTCCTAGATTGTTCACTTCTGCCTTCTCCAAACTCTTCACCCTTTGGTGAATAACCATGTAGGAGTACATTCCTTCCAGATATAGGAGACCATCAGCTTCTCAGGAGAAAGGGAGTTAGTAAAAAGTTCTAGAAATTCCTTCCTTCCAGAGATAGAGACAAGCAGCCTCTCATCTTGAGGGTTGTCAGTAAAGAGAATGAGGAATACATTCCTTTTAGAGATGGTATTCCCATCCTTGTTTCAAAGCCTGGTCATGTTAGGTACCAGGACCCATTGTGGGTAGTTTATATTACAGGAAGTATTCTGCACAGTGAAGGTTGGGATGCAGGCTACTAGTCAGTTGTCCTTAATGTGGCCAAGGCACACAGAGAAAACGGCACCCTACTTACATGAATATGTATTCATTTCTCCGAGCTAATGATTTCTTAGTATAAGGGCTTGCGTAATAACATTGATATATCTATGTAGTATTTTTATTGTGTGTAACATGAAAGGACCAATCCACCCAGGAATAATATTCCAGTTCTTGGTAGATGCTGGACAGTTAAAATACCTGACGGCTTCTTCTACGTTTCAGGGAGTCTGTTGCAGTCTGTGCTTGAGTTCTTCAATCTGCACTCCTACTGTTGCAATTATAAGGAGGTACCACTTGTCCTGTTGAAATGTATTTGTCATTGAGAATACATCAGACATTGCTGGAACACACAATACATTGAACAGAGGCTTTGGTGAATGCTTCCTCTAAATGTCAGAAGACTGATGGCTCCACTCTGTAAAGTGGCTGGTTGAAAATTTAAAAACCTTGTCTTTGTGATTTTTAAAAAGATAGAAACAGAATTTTATAGAGTTTTAGGAACTAGTCACACAAACCTGTATGCATTTTGTTCCATGAAGATGCATTGCAAGTCCCAGTCTTTCCTATGTGGCAAGATCCCATCCATGTGCTGCAGTGTAAACTAGGCAAGGCAAAACAAACTATATGGACCCATTCACAACTATGCATGTTCATCACCATACATGCTGCAATGCAAATGGTACAGTGTGAATCCAGTCTCAGAGTCTCCGTCTCTTTGCCAATTGGCCGATTATAACAATCAAATTAAAGCGGTAGATCATTTATTTTTTTTAGAAACAGGTTCTCTTAACCCTTTCGCTGCCAAGCCCTCCGGAATGCTTTTAACCTCCGCTGGCCACACCATTTTTGCAATTTTTCCCATTGTTTTGATTTTCTATTTTCCTGCGTTGCCATCGCTTGTAGAAGACCCCCCCCTAATCATATAATTTCTGACAGCACAGGCCCGGTAGAATAAAACGATGGTGCTGCTAATTTTGTAGGCCCTGCGGTAATTGTGCAAATGTTTATTAAATCAATATTCAACCGATAGAAATACACCATTAAATAGAAATATACCATTAAATGGATAAAAGCACATTAAAATCATTATCAGTGCACACAATGTTTTTTTTCTTCCTAAATCTAAAAGATAAAACTGTATTGAGTTAATAAATATTTGTACATTTTAATTTGCGCCTTTTTTGCGAAAAGGTAATAAAATTAAAGTAACGCAAAACTGTAAATAAGCGAGTTATGTTAATCGTTTATTGTACTGTGTTGGTGTGTGTGTTGTGATACAATGATACAGGAGTACATTTAGTCACAACACAGTGTATCACAACGCACAGCAATGCGCCACACCGCTTTGCCACGCGCAGCCACAGTTAAATTAATGTTATATTGAAAAGAAAAAATCAAGCACTGCAATGTGTTCTAACAACGTAGTGCAGCGCATGTGCATGGCTTACACGGTGTTGCACACGTATAGTGTGTGTGTGTGCGCGTGTGTGTGCGCGCGTGGGGGGTTATTTTTTCAAATGTTATACTGTTGGGGGTTTCAAGGAAATATCTGGGGTCTAAACAGACCCCTGACATTTCCCTTTTGAAATAGAGAAGAAAAAAAATTGAGGACACCGAGTCCTCAATCCTCTTTTTCTGCAGACTCAGCACTGTATGAATGGAAAGCACTCAGTACAGAGGCTTCCCATTCATTCACCAACTGGTGATAGTAAAATATTTACTATCATCCAGTTATGAATGGGTAGTAGCCTCTGTAGTGTGCGTTACTACCCATTCAGAAACTCATGAATGGGTAGTTGCTAAAGCAACCATGAGCTTATAGCAGAAGGGTGAAAGCCACAGACGTTAGGCTTACTAAGCTGGCCAGCTGGAAACAGTTGTGTTCCGCCGTAAGCCTAACGTTGGTGGCAGTTAAAGGGTAATTCCACTCTCCCAGGTGAATTTGGGAAAATTAAATTACCCCCTCCAATCTGGCCCCCTCTCTCCTCCTTGTTATACTTACCTTTGGGCGACTGCTCCCCGCCCCCCGCGCTGGTGTACTATCAGTACCCCATACTGCCATGTAACACAGCCCTGCACTCTGGATTTTGAACTTTACTTGCAAATGGCGAGCACTCGTTCGTCAGCACCGTTCGAGTAAATTGTGTCGCCCAAACAAATTTCTGATTTAGACAATTCTGCAGCAGATTCATATACACCTTAGGACCCATTCACATCAGCCAGTGTGCGGTGCCTGACATAGTGCCGATCCCGGCACATCGTACTATATACTTCTTCTTTTTTTTTTTCTTTTAGAACTTTATTGAAATGTCACAAGTGACAATTGATTCAGTTTTACAGCACAGCGGGGTATGAGGCTTTTGTTCCACATCCCATCCTAGGTGTGATGGCATGCTTTTTTTTCAGCACACCCAAACGTTGACGTGAAAAGTGTCCATCCGTGACCAGGCAATTTACCTTATCTTGCCTTCGCTGCACTGAAAACAGCCCCAAAGCATGTGACGTGAATGGACCCTTACTGATAGTTACATAAATCTGCCCCAAGTCGCACCATTTCCAGATTTTGAATGAGTGCCTACGACCCTTCGCTGGAAGATCTCTGGCCATTGACCTGCACAAAATATTACAAGGCTGACTCACTCTTGTCGGGTATTATGGAATTATTTTAAATTTTGAACAATGATGGGGCCGGGGGAATAAATGCAGAAAGGTAGAATGAGTTGTTGAATTTTTTTTCTTTCTTCATTGTAACTTAGGGCTTAGTGTGTTGTGGCAGCTGTCGCTGTATACTTTTTTTCTTTTTTTAACTTTATTGGTAGTGTACAATGTATATACTCTATTCAGGTCTCCCCATGGCAGTGTGGTGGCATCCAGTATGCTTTGATAAAATGCAGCATGTTTGCATTTTATCGCAGTGCCCCAGTCCATCACACCACATTGTGTGAATGGGACACATAGAAAACAATTGATTCCTGTGTGTCCTTGTGGTGACCTGTGTTGATCTAGTGCAGTACAATGCAGGTCACTGCAATATGTGAAAGAGCCCTGAAATTAGAACTGAAGCCAACACTTTTTTTAAATTTTTTTTTTTAGTTTTGTCAGAGTTATGGGAGAGTTAAAACCCTTGTATAGATTTTTATACTTTGCTGACAGTGACCCATTGGGGAGATTTTCATTCACTTCATGTCCCATAGCCACAACAGGAAGTGAGGGAAGTTTACCAATCTATACCTGTTCTGGTGACAATCCCAAATTTGGGATTTTCTTTCATTAAAAATGGTCACCAGGACAAATGGGGGTGGGTTGAGTCTTCCGACAGACATAGACACAGACATAAATAAAAACCTGTCAGGTATTCTAATCCCTCTCCACTCTAAACAAAACTAAAAAAAAAAAAGTTTTCATGTTAAATGTTCTGTATCACTTTTAAGTACTATCTGTAAAAATTAAGTAAATTAAGGCAACTGGACTTGCTGTATTTTTCTTGAAGACGTTTCACTGATCATCCAACCAGCTTTCTCGAAGAGATGACCAGTTGGATGACCAGTGAAACGTCTTCAAGAAAAATACAGCAAGTCCAGTTGCCTTGACTTAATTTTTACAGATATACCATGACCTGGATGAATGAGAACCTTTACAGACACTTAAGTACTGTGCAATTAAAAGAAAGAATGAACTGGGTAGAAGGGTGTTATGACTTCGGGGGGGATGTGTTCAAGCCTCAATGAAACTCTTTCAGTGCTAAGTTCACACCTGTGCTGATACATGGATGCCAAGAGAAAGCTGTGGCCTGTTGTCTGTCACAGTTCAGTTTCTGTTAAGCCCTAAAGTAAATAAATTGGCCTTTCCATGGCAACCTCCTTCCAGCTTCCTCCACCTATCGTCCCCTAGAGCTATACACCTACAAACATTGGAGCACCCTGGAGAACATTGATCTGCTTTTCTGTCCATCCTCACTTCCACTATTGTATGACCTCTTCATTGCCGCACAGTGAGTATATTTTCTTTCACTACATGCTACTAGTTTCTGTACGTAGATAATGCCGGGGGAAATGTTCCATTACTTTATGTGCCATCAGAGATCTGTGTTTGCTTTTCTTCCAAGGAGCACACTCGTATTTCTGTTTTACTTTAGCATATTGGAAATACTGAACTCTTATGTGCTAACGCCCTGAACATATGTTTCCAAGCAAAATATTTTGCCGATGAATGTGAAGCATCCCAAGAATCATCCATGACTGCACTGTTCATTTCCTATCCAAATTTGAATTGGCCTGCTTGTAATGTTTTCTTGCTTTATATTAGTTATTCCCAACAAATTTGTCTCTATGCGCCGCTTATCACTCCATGTGCAATTACAAGTGAACTGCGGCAGAGCTTGTCAGCCTGTCATTGGTTGTTCAGGCTGAGCATAAACACCCGAATACACTCGCAACAGAAATATGCTGATCTGGTTGGAATTCATATTCTTTGGCTGAATGGTGCTTGCAATCACCATTTAGGTATTTTCAAAATGGACAGCGGTCCCTGGCAGAATGCATGGATACAGCAGGGGATTGCTCTGTCCATGCTGCTTAGATTTGCTTTTCAGTCTGTAGAAATGGGGGATATTTTTTATATTAAGTGTGTGTGTGTGTGTGTGTGTGTGTGTGTGTGTGTGTGTGTGTGTGGTTTTTAATCATTTAATTGTACGGAGCAAGGTATGTCTGGCTAATAAATATATTGGCAAATACCTTATGATATCTGCTCTTAGGCAAAAATTGTACAATAAAATCTTTTAAAATACCGTTACAGATTTACTTGAAGTTAAAGTGTAATTAAATGGGATTATTTCTAGTTAATAGTTTACATGATTTTTATTTGATCATAAAATAAGTTTAAAGAAAACTTGTGCTGATCGAAATCCCTAGACTGCCATTCTTGCCCTATCCTGCTAGAGATTTGCTGTCTGTTTCAGTGATTTGGAACAAGACTGGAAGGCAACCGAAGGTCAGCAGTGGCAGCTTATGTATTTCATTTAGCCCAGGTTTCCTTTGACTGTATTGCAGACTTGTGTCTGGAAAGCTACATCTTATTATTTCTTTGCTTATGTCATGCAGCAGGAATGTACTGTGTCTAAATAAAACCCTCCCTGGAAATTACGCTGCATTTAGTCTGTGGTTGGTCTTCCCATTGTATACATTTGGGATGACACCCCTTTAACACTCGGGCTAAAACATTATATCCAAAGTCATTCATTTAGTTTGCATTAACCTGTGTTGCATTAAGGCAGCTCAATCAAAATGAATGGTCTGCCAATGCATCACAATGTGCTTAAAATCACACATAATGCTTTTTTTTTCTACCACCGTGTACTACCGTGTGTTATCTTACTGTGCAAGACCCCAACACACTACTGTGTCATTTTTTAAATCTACTTGGAGTTCACTTATTTGGTATTAATTTTCACTGACAATAATATACTCCTTGTATCTTTTCTCTTTTTTTTTTGTCTGTTCAAAGTGCCAACCTACAAAATACTGTTTTCAGTTACATTTAGAACTTGCTGGGCTGGGTCATCTGCTGGCTTCTTCCATATCTTGGGGACTCTATCCATGAGATCTTTCTTTTCTTTTGTAGTTCTTGGCTCTGTTCCTGTCCACTTTGGGGTTTAAGGTGTTCCTTGCTGGGCTGGGTCATCTTCTGGCTTCTTCTATATCTTGGGGACTCTATCCTTGAGATCTTTCTTTTCTTTTGTAGTTCTTGGCTCTGTTCCTGTCCACTTTGGAGTTTAAAGTGTTCCTCCCCACATTTGCATGTTTCCACTTGTTTTTCCCACTTGTCTTGTTCTCCATAATATACAAGAAATGAAAGCTATAAGAGGTAGAGTAGGACCTCCTTTTATAATAGCTACAACAGGTATGGAGACCAGTAAAATGAAGAGCAGAGTGCTCATTAATAGTCTAGAGATAAAAAGTTAGAGGATTTAAATCCCAGCATCTACCAAAAAGTAAAATAATAATTTTTGTTCACCTCACCTGACCCTTTAACTTCTCTTTTTTTTTCAGATCTGACATGCCCATACACACAGTGCATAAAGATCAGTGAACTTGCACTGCGTTCAGATCCACAAAATCTGCATCTGAGGTCAGTAATCTAGGTGTTTAGACATACATATCAATGCGTGTTAACTCGTAACTTTAATGGAAGTAGGTTTTTACATGTCTAAAAGTGGTATGGATGTTTACACTTCTATATGTGTGTCAATGAAAGCTCTTTATGGAGAAATACATGCGTTTTCTCCTAGGATCTTCCTGCAATCATCTGCCAGAAAGATCCGGTATAATGATCAGTATTTCAATACTGCCATGTGTATGAGCCCTAAAGTGTTAGAAAGCAAATTACACCAACTCTAATCTTTTATTTGACCTTGGAGGATTTTTGAGAAGGACTAATTTCACAGCCAGAGAGGTTGGGGGTGGCTTGTTTTAAAGTTCTGTTACTGCCTGTTAAGAATATGTAAGTAGTTGAATGTCCATAGTCTGGCCACAGGTGCACTTTAACATGTGTTTTTTTCTTTAGATGTGGCTTGTAACATGTCCTATATAAACTTTACAGGTTGAAAATTAGGAAGGAGTTACAAGCTGTGACCACACTGAACCAGCACCATGTTGGAAGAAGATATGGAAGTGGCCATTAAAGTGGTGGTAGTAGGGAATGGTGCTGTTGGAAAATCAAGTATGATACAGAGATACTGCAAAGGGATATTCACAAGGGATTACAAGAAGACCATTGGAGTAGATTTTCTGGAAAGGCAAATTCAGTAAGTAAACTTTCTATTGCACATATACATAATATCTATTAGGACTGGACTGGATGGTGGGATGTGGGTGTAAGGGCATCGATTTCCTGCCACTGAAGTCAATTTGCAGTTCTTCAACTCTTGGTAGTTATTAATGACAGAAGCATCCTACATGTGTACGACAGATGTTACACTTACCGTTTATGTAGAATTTAATGCTATATCTTCAGAAGACAACCGGTCATGGTAAAACACCAGGTATACTGTAATGCAAGTTGTAATGCAAGTTGGCGATTGGTGCATGTCCAGACAAGGGGCAGGACAGGGACAGCCGAATGGCTTGATGTGGCCCACAGGCTGTAAAATGCCCAGGCCTGGTTTAGAAGCTGTGTCAGATTTTCTCTCTGTAGCCTTGTTGGGGAGATTTCTAATTTGTGCCCATGGCAGTTTTGTCATCAAGGAAGTTACGGGAAGTCTCCAGTGGGAAAATGGACAGAAAAATAAAGTTGGCATTAGTTTTGGCTATACTAAAACTTTTCTGAAAAAAAAAAAGTTCACTCATCTAGAGTTAGTGTTTTTAAAAATAGTTTTGGTTAGGGTAAGGAAGAGTTAGGACCCTGTTGTTGTTATGATTATTATTATTATTTTTGCTGTGTTTGCCTCATTAGGGAGATTTCACTTCAATTCCAGTCCCAGACAGAGAGGACAGAAAATATAGAGAATTCTTTACAAGTTGAGAATTCTCCTTAGACAGTTCTCACCAGGACAAGTGTCTATTTGAAGTTTTCCCCTCAAATTCTGTTCTGGTGACAACTATATAATTTTGTGTTTCCCATCACTTTCTGTTTGGTGACAGTGATCACGAGTACAAATAGAGAGGGTGAATCTCTCCAGTGAGGGCACCAACACAAACCTGACAGAGGCTACTTTTTTCCTACTCTATTCAAAACATAAAAAAATGTGGCCATGCAAACATTTTAAAGCACAGCTCTGCAAAATGGATGTTTATGGCAGCGGAGTGAGTTTGGTACAATAATGTCATTAGTCTGTCAACACAACAGTGCTTTTTATGTACTTACTAGTAGTTCTGGTTAGGAATATTTGTACGTACTGCTTACACATGCCCATAACACCTTATACTTCAAATTCTTGCGTGAGATACATTTTTTTTTTACATTGGACACTAGCAGCCCTTGTGAGGACTGCAGACTTAACATTAGTCAATTAATCACTGAGGAAAACTATTTCTGTGCACAGCGTGTGGCCATTTAGTGTGAACTACTGAACTTCTGTAATAATTAAACTTCCAGACCTCTCTGTTGGACTCCGTAAAAGGAAATGGTATGTTTGATTACATGTTGGTTGCCACCTTGAAGCATATGGACTTGTAGATGAACGTAGCCATGGACAGAGTGCATTGTGAAGCTACATCTAGATTCTGTATATTACACATACATTTACAGACAGAATCCTACACATACCAGTGTCATTGTTAATGAAGGTTTTGTCCAGAACATGATACATGTTCTGGACAATACATGATAGTCCCATCAATGACTCCTCTAGGCTGACGTTGCATTTTACCGTTAGTCACATACCATAATATAAGTCCATTATTCTCACTTCTTCGGTATTGAAGGGATTCTATAGTAATATTGTTTAGCTTGACTTTAAAGTAGATTTCCAGGAAACGCAAATATCTTGTTTGGGGTCTCTGTATGTAGCAACATAGAGCAGAGAACTCACCATGTATCCACAGCTAGCTTAAGTCTTGACAACTGACTCTGTTCCCATATAGAAACACTGTATTGGTCACCTCAATACTGAGTGGCCAGATTATTATGACCACCCCATCAGTACTTCGTTGGGCCGCCTCGTGACTCCACCAGATGTTGAAAGGTGATGCGAGGAATCTGACACTGCACTGTTGCCCTTCTGTTGTCTTGTACCAGTCTTGCCACTCTCCGTTCTGCCCTAACATTGACTAGTCGCTGACGGCCACAATTCGCACGTTCAGACCCAGATTTTCGGCTGACAGTCCAGTCTTTAAACACTTTAACAACAGCTGCTCTTGAACATTTAACGAATTCTGCTGTTTTGCTGATACTCGCTCCATGGCTCCGAGCGCCAACAATCATCCCACGTTCAAAGGCTGTTAAATCACGTTGTTTACCCATATCTTCAGAAAAAAATCACTTCTACTGTCGTGGTAAACCACCTGCTTCCCTATTTATAATGGTCTGGGCCTCTAGCAACTTCAGCGCCAAATTATAGCTAATTTGCCTACAGACGTCAGGTGGTCATAATAAGCTGGCCACTCAGTGTATAGTACCAGCCTTCACCATCTGTGAAATCTAACAGTAGCTGGGTTTCCAAACCTAGGCCGTTTCTTATCCACTTAAAAGCGGGCCTTTACCCCCTTTGACTAAAAATCACATCCTCATACAGCTCTGCATGCTGATATGTTTTTTTTTTTTTCCCACTTCTTGGTCCTCTTGGGCACAAATGTATTTATTTATTACAGGTATTTATATAGTGGTGACAATTTACACAGCACTTTACATCATTTTTGCTGTAAATTTGGCAGTAGCACTAAACTAAAGTTCAATCCTAATGATTCAGGAAACATTTAGGCAAAAAATGTGATCAGACAAAATTGGACATTTTTTAATTTTTTTTTTTTTTTTGATTTTTTGAGCCAAATTTTTGTTTTGTTTTTTCTTGCTCTTGTAGGATAAATGATGAAGATGTTCGGCTTATGCTGTGGGACACAGCTGGACAAGAAGAATTTGATGCAATCACTAAAGCATATTACAGAGGTTAGAACAAATCTATATCTTGTCTTATAATCCTCACACAAGAACCACCCCCAGAGATATTAAACACATGCAAAGTGTTTGTTTTCTGCTGGTTGTATTGCTTCATGTCGGACTGCTTTAGGATATCACCTAGCTGGAAACAGATGGTGGGCATGCTACCTTCATTTGTTCATATCCTCGCTCTCTAATGCATACTGGCATTGTTATAACATGCACAGTGCTGCTTTCTATAATATAGTAGGAAATGGTAAGACTGACTATGCAAGGGCTCCAAGCACATGGCATTTTAGTACACGTTGGATTGGGTCACATTTACCATACAGCAGAGCTCATGCAGCTTTACAAATGAGGTTCTTTGAACCTTCCGGTCAAGATTTCCAGCTGGATATTTAAGCGTTCATAGGAGTGGTTCTGGGTGCAGCCTGGCCAGCCGCCTTTCCTTCGGGGCCTTTTCATTGTTCATATAAGCGGTTTAGTGTTTTGTGAACATTGAGTTAAGCAGAGCTGTTCAGTTAATTGAGAAAGCAATTGGGGAAAAAACATTTTAAGCAGAGGAAGCATCATATTTAAAGCATGGGCTTTTAATGTAACTAACAAGACAGAATAAGATACTTTCAAGATCTCTTGACAGCAATGCATTTGATACAACAGTGGAATTATAGTGCTGGGTGTATTTCACTAATTGAAAAATGACAGACCTAAAATATTTATTTAAAAAAATAAAAAATGACAGACCTCTTATTTTTATCACCCATAGGTCCGCTTTATAATTAAATGGTGGTTGCTCTTTATGTATATTAGTCTGGTTGAAAAAAGACACAAGTCCATCGAGTTCAACCTAATTAGAAATAGCTCTTTAATAAAAAGGGTGTTGTCACGTACCTGTATGAGGAGCCTGAGGTGATGAGGGTGGCCCTTTATATAATTCCCATCTGACTACCGCTGGAAGCTGAGACCGGGCCTGTATAACATCATGGCAAAAAGAGTTTAATTTTTTTTTATTTTTTTATTAGATAATATGAAAGATCAACAAGTGAAATGGAACAAGACTGTCAAACCCAATTCTTTTGGGATCCTAGATGGCGGGTTTTGTTAAGGGTACATGTTTGTGTTATGAGGACATTGCAGAGGCTAAGTAACTGTTAATGATACAGCTATCTCACAAGAGACCCTATCCGTTTATCTGTAGGGATATGGTAATTATTACCAAACATGAATCATTTTAAGGACTGGAAACAGCGTGAGTAATACAGGTTACCTAGGGGAGAACAAATGCAACTAAGCCTAATACCGATTTATTTCATGGAGGAAGTTGATCCACTTTGCATTTTATTATTGTTTATCAAAATTAGAACTGTGCCATATATTCCAATCTTTATATTGTTTTATTGTCTGCATAGGGCTGATTTTCTTCTGCCGGTAATGAGGACAGTAGAATAACAAGTCTCTAGTGAACATTCGACTTTAGTCCACTTAAATCATCTAATCCTCTGATCTCTGACTAACCGGCAGCAATGTAATAGGCTGGGTACACACCTGGGCGTATTTTTTCTGCTCGTTTTTCAGCTCGTTTTTTGCTGCGTTTTTTAGCACGTTTTTCTGTTCCGTGAAACGCGCATTTCACTGGCGGTATGATTTTTTTTTTCACTTTCAAACTTCCCGCCGGCTCTGCCCCCCTGCGACGCGGCCGCTCGCAAGGGACGGAAGTCGGCAGCTGCCGGAGGACACAGCGTACAGGTATTACCCGTACGCTGTATTCCCGAGTGTGGCTCGGGGTTACCGCTTTGTTAAACGCACGGAAAAACGCCCCAAAGAAGCTCCTGTACTTCTTTGGGCGTAGGGCGTTTTTCAGCACGTTCCTACGCGCTGAAGTACACCCAGGTGGGAACCATGCCCATAGGCAATTATTGGTTTTCACATGTTGAGCGCTTTACAGCGCGTGGGAACGCGCTGTAAAACGCCCAGTTGTGAACCAGACCTTATTATACTAGTTTACAGAACAGTTGTTCATCCATGAGTAAAACGATATGGAGAAAGCTTGTCCAAGCCCACAGAGGGTAAGATCACAGTAGTTTCAAAAAACGATCGATGTAGCAAAGAAGTATCAAAATACAATAATATTTATTACAAAATACAATAACATCAAATTTGTTACATATAACTTGTATAATTTTGCACAACCCCCAACCTATGCACCCATTAACACTGATTGACAACGTTGTCCGTCCCATTCATACTAACCATTTATACAAGCGTGCTGCCACAATGTAGATATAATTCATTCCTGGTGGCGTTCAAAAGGGACTGGAAGAAAGCGGGGTAAATTCCAGGTTAATTGGATCAAAGTCAAATGCCTTGTTCACACCAAATGCAGACCAGATCTGCATGAGTTTCTGCACACGCAGTGCAGTGTGTTATGCTGCGTTTTTGATGCGTTCAGGTCGGTTTTTGGTAAAATTTATTTATTTTTTGTTTAAAATGGGCTTTCACTGCGTTCCATGGTGTTTGCATGTGTTTTTGGTGCATTTGCATGCGTTCCAGGGCAGGTAAAATAGGGCTTGCTGCAGTTTTTTTTTTTACATGCTCTGGAACTGAATGCTGCGATGTGAACTAGAGCCCCAAATACTATTGGAATACATTGGACGCAGTTTTGATCCGGTCTGTAACGGCTCTGCTCCTGGAACGCGCTTGGTGTGAACAAGCCCAAAGGGAATTCTTTACATGAGTTCATGAATGACACACAAGAAAAAACTCCATTCTCAAAATGAGATCTGAACTCCAAATCGGTCCTTTTGTAATTCCCAATATGTGGATACAGCCAATGCAGTTATAAGCACCTGGATTGAGGAAAACCCATACCTGTGTTCCATTCAAGCATATTCTTCAATACATTCAGTGTCTCCGAAACAAAACTCTTGTATTAAATATTGTTTCAATCAAAATGCAGGTAGTGATGGGTATTTATTTATATGGTGCCAGCACCAGCTTTTTGTTGTTGGCCCTCTTGGGGAGATTTCCTTCACGTCCAGTCTGAAAGCCAAAACAGGAAGTGAGAGGAAATCCCTCCAGAGACCAATTGGAAGATTTCCCATCAATTGCTATAGACACCTGTATTCAGGCGTTTTCTGTTCATATGTTTTTAAAGCTCGTTTTCAGCTGTCCACTGAGAAGCTGGCTCAGCTGCTGAAATGTGCATGAAAAAAGTGCGGAATAGCGCAAAAACACGCTGATCAGCGCGTTTCCATTAAAGTCTACCGAGCAAAACGTGCTGATCAGCGTGACAAAAGAAGCACAGGGACTATTTCAAGCGACAGGCGTATTTGTACGCGTGATTCCGCGCATTTGTGTGAACAGCCCCCAATAGGAATGTATGGAATTATATTTGCATGTGTTTCAGCACAGAAAAATCCACTTGACGAAACCACAATGGTGTGAACTGGGTCTAAGAGGTTTGTTTATAAAGCAGTGGTATGCCATTATTACAGCCTTACTGTAAGTCATGTGACTTGCTTCTCCAATCAGTTCTCTCTGCTGTATTAAGGAGAGAAAACACCTTGACATACTGCAGGCTCAACATCACAGCCTGCATTTTATCAATGGGCTGTAACATTCTGGTGTCCAGTAACCTTGTGATGTTTGGCAGAGACAGGATAGCAATATCCACTCTACGTCATACATTGCCCCTAAATGACATTCAGTTGGATTACATCTACTTTAATGACTGCCTTTGCCTTCTAGGTGCCCAAGCTTGTGTGTTGGTATTTTCTACCACAGACAGGGAATCTTTTGAAGCGGTGCCCAACTGGAAGGAGAAAGTGATGGCTGAAGTTGGAGACATTCCAACAGTTCTTGTTCAGAATAAAATTGACCTGCTTGATGATACAGTTATTAAGAAGTAAGTTAGCATTTCCTTGATTATTGGAATTGTCATTACATTGATATCTTTCAAATACATTGGATTTTTATATCCTGAAGTGGGTTCCTATTTGGAATGGAAGTCCTGCAGTGGCCGCTTCTTACTCTTTCAGCACCTGTCTGAGGTGTCCAAGCAATGGGACTCCTGCTTTTTGTTTATAAAGAGTGGAAAGGTAGTTCCACTTATGTGCCACGAGAAGGGTACAGTGGTGGGAGTGAGAGGGAATTATGTCCTACCTGCTACTGGTTTAGTCTGGTGAGGATGACTAATTAATTTACTGCACCGTGTGATCAGCGGGCGTAACTAGAAATCACAGGGCCCCATAGCAAAATTTTGTATGGGGCCCTGTGATTTCTAGTTATACCTCTTGCAGAGTCCACTCGAGATCCCACTTGAGGGTGAACTTGCAGAGCCCACCATAGACTCTCTATGGTGGGCTATGCAGGGTCACCCTCATGTGGGCTGGTCACACTCCTTACCTGTCCGCCTCCTCTTCCTCCACGGTTGCTGATGGGCCCTGCCTCCTCTGTCGCCGGGCCCGCCTCCTTCGTCACCAGGCCACTCCTCCTCCCCTGCTGCTGACTACGGGCCCCCTCTGTGGAGAGGAACGCACTGCTGCACAGATTACTGTCAGTGATCTGAACAGCGGCGTGTTCCTCTTCAGCCGCCAGTGAAAGCCACCAGCAGAGGATCCCATAGCGACCCAGGCGGCCCGCACGGCATCTGGCCGGGTCCCACTGTGCCCTGGGCCCGATAGTGGTCGCCTGGGTCGCTATGGTGTTTGTTACGCCCCTGCGTGTGATCAATTCCTGTACTCTTCCCAGGACATGTTGTAAACACATGCTTGATCTAGGATTTACTCACTACATACCAAAGTAAGCATTAGGGTGACAGCACTGGGACCTGTACCTTCATAAGACAGTCAGCAATGGCATTTTGGCGTTTTGTTTAAACAGACCTCTATGTTTGTAAAGGTGAAAAATCATCAGTCTTGCTATGAAATACTCTTTAAATTATAAAAAAATGTCGCCCACCTGGTTCGGCCCTTCAGGTACACTAATTGGTCTTTGAAAGCAGATGTGTCGAATGCACTGGGGCGTCTGCGCCTAGATTAGGTTATTTTATTGTACCCCCTTCCTGATATTCTGCCCAGACTTCGCACCTTGCCAATCCCTGACTTCTACATTGCCTGTCCCTGCTATGCAGTAGATTATGTGGAGAGATGGTGGCACTTCTTACTTGGTATAACCTACATATATGCTGTTTACTATACTGGGATATGCACCTTGTATATAAACGGCTAATGATATCTTTGTTTTTCTCTTTGTTTTATATTCAAAAAAGTTAATTAAAATTTTGTTTAAAAACAAAATTTCAGCGTTCTTAAAATTGTCCTAAGTACATTTTAGTATTGTGAGGCAATACTTTTGTGTAAGTTGGCAGCGTTTTCAGCCAGCACTCTCAGCCAGAGGGGCTGAGAGGGTCCAGAAAAACAGTAGTTTTACAGGGAAAGAGCTGGCTTTTCAGTTCTTTCCAGGTTCTCTGGATTGTAGCTGGGGTCTGGGACCCTGGAAATTTCTAAAGCTGCCCATACACCTTTTATCTGCAGATTTTCTGTGGTCAGATGGAAATAGTGCAACATATTGGCCCAGGTGGAGATTACTCCATCCGCACAGTTTAGCGTAGATGGAGGAATCTGTTGCACCTTTTCCATCTGACCATAGAAAATCTGCGGATAAATTGTAAGGTGTGTGGGCAGCTTAAAGGTGCCCATACACCTTACGATTATCGGACGAAACTTTTTCGTCCGATGATCGAATAGTCATACGATTTTCGTACGGCAGCCCCATCCTGCCCCGAAGATCGCAAGATTAATTTAGCCGTAATTAACGAAAAGCACCTGGGCGAAATGCGGTAATTGATTTGCCGCATTTTCGTTAGCGCAAGCGCACTTGGTGTGAAACACCAGCAACCTTACGACAGTCGTACGATCTAGCAAAGTTTTCAAACATGCTTGACCGTCAAAAGTCGTACGATTGTACAGTAATGTCGGTCGGACACTGCAATGCACACATACGATTATCGGACGAAAAGTCGATCGCATACGATAATCGTAAGGTGTATGGGCACCTTTAGAGTGTTGGGTGGGATGAAATCTCCAATTCTAGGTCCAGGTGTTGCCAATTACCGGACTGACTGGGCCTATGAAGTGGCTAGAGATAATAATCGATTATAATCGATTATGTCGATTAGTTGTTGCAGCCCTACTAGAGACAGCCCTATTAAGGAGACTTGACCAGAGATCAGGTGGGTGGTGTGTGGGGGAGCCACACAGGAGTCAAGCCAGGAGGTGGTGTGTGCGAGAGGGATATCGGACAGCTGGTGAGACTGGGAGAGCCGGAAAGGCCCTGAGGGCCAGTGACACACGGGAGTTGTACAGCTGCAGGAGTCACACAGGAGGTGTGGAGTGGCCAGGGCTACTCAGGTGTGGGAAAGGCTCTTTGGGAGTGCTGAAGTGCACTGAAGGCTACTTTCCTTACTGAAGGTTTCCTCTGTGGGGAAGTACCCTGAAAGTCCTGAGTTGGGGCATCTTGTTTATGTGAGTAGTCGGTAAGACTGTTCATATCATTTTATAGCAGACAGCCAAAATGATGTTTGTTATGCTGAAGATAAGCGTCTTTCTGTTTGTAAAGAATAGAGAGACTGTGTGCTTTTATGGAGTGATCACTAAGCACTCGCCTTATGTGCCGAGTTCCCCAAATATCACGTTTTATTACAATCTTTGCAAATAACTCTTCAGTAATATTTTCAGTTATTAAAATCCTAACACCTTGGGGACATAGATGTTAGTCAGCTCTTGCCCTGTTCACATTCATATTTATATTCTTTTTTTTGTCTATTTTCGTGTTTTGTCTTTAAAAAAAAAAAAACTTTGAGTGGTTCATGGATTTTCCTTAACATGGACAGTTTTCATCATATATATTAACAGAATAGGTTAGTGGTTCGCCAGACATGTGATTGGAGAGCTTGGATCTTCCTGCTGGAATATTACAATGTTAATAAACGGATGTCGATTTCACCATGTACACCTGATGATGGGAAATGATAAAGATGTGTCTAAATGTTAATGAGACTTGCAAGTTTTTTTACTTTTTGCAGACAGACTAATATTATACTGTATGTCTGAATTGCTATCTTTGACACGTCACTTTGTACATTGCTGAGTGACATTGCTGGCCTAATCTATGTTTTTTATAATGACCTGAGAAGAGAAGTAACAGCTTGTGAAGCTGAATTACTTTGCAGGCTTTTTATAACCCGTTAGACTGTTATCCGCAGACAGTTCTATTTATAAGCGTTCGTTCACACCATAGGCAGTGCGTTCCAGTCAGAATCGGACAGGAACGCACTGCCCGCATTGCGGCCGGCTCACTTTTTTGCCGGGCTTGAGGGGGGCGCGGCGGGCCATTGAAGTGAACGACACCGTAGCCACGCCCTGCGGCCGCAATGCGATCGCCCGCACTGGTTCGCAAGGACATTGTGCCTGATTTGATGAAACCAACTGTTATTTAAAAGGGACGATCCATCTTGTTTTTGAGCAGAAGGTTGTTGAGATGATCAAATCTGTGGTTATTAGTTTAGAAACACGGGTATAGCCATCCATAGAAGGACATCCACACAAGTCCAAAAATTGTTTAGCCACGTCCTGCCCAGAGCAATTTCTTAATTTTTGCACACGCACACATGATAACATCTGAATTTTTGTCTACAAAATGGCTTAAAACCCCCCAAACAATGTTGTATACTTTCTAAAAGCAGAGGCACTGTAGAATAACATTTTTATGACGCACAATATTTGCGCAAATGTTTATCAAACCAATATTTTAATATTTTTAGAATAAAATACACTAACATTCATTTTAGTGCACAGAAAGAGAAGATAATACCCAGTGAGAGGAATTTATCAAAACCGGAGAAGACAAAATCTGGAGCAGTTGCCCATGGCAACCAATCAGCTTATCTCTTCAGTTCAATTAAGATTTGAAGATGAAAAAGAGAAGCTGATTGGTTGTTGTGCACAGCTGCTCCAGATTTTGTCTACTGCAGTTTTGATAAATTCACCTTTAGATTTTTGGTAAAATGCCCATGATATGGCGAAAAACTTCAGTATTCAAAATTGCTCATAGGCGACGCTGTAAAAGCCTTTTACCGCTCATCAATTTAGTGATAACAATGATTTGGTGGCCATAGAAATGTTGCTGTCACTCTGTACGTTCGTGGTGCTATATAACATGTGCGGTGCAATCGTTGTTTTCACACATATACTTGAACCCTTGTATGTGACAGCCATCATCGGCTAAAAAAAACAAAACGGTACAAACTCAGATTTGCAAAAAAAATGGCCTTTGGAGAACGACCGTTTGAATTTGGTTGCGCGGAGTTGTTTGAGGCAGCCCTTGGAGTACACAGTATAAATATACTGTATGTATGTATGTACAGTATGTGTATATACAAGCCCTTCTGGGCTAGTATACTACATTGTATTTGTTTTTACTTTTATTGTACTGTTTTTATTGTTTATTTCTTTTAGTGAAGAGGCAGAAGCTCTAGCCAAGAGGTTAAAATTGAGGTTTTATAGGACATCGGTTAAGGAAGATCTGAATGTTACTGAAGGTGAGTAATGACATCAGACACGCTACATTCTACATTGTTCTGGGAGTAAGAAAAGCCTCTTAACCCTCAATGATCGGATGTTATTGAAGCCTAGGTGCCCAGAACAATTCTGCAGTTTCTATATTTTTTGGTTTTCTTGACAAATCTGTAATTGATTTTGCCTTCCTAAATGATTTTCCCATTTATTGTTTCAGGACACATCCAAGTTTTATTTGGTACACTGTGTTAATATATTCCCTGTACATGTGTTTATTGTAAGCCAATAAACATAGGTTTTGTTTATTACTAGTTACACATTCCCATGGTTGGTTAACATTCATTTCTAATTCATTCGCTTCTAATATCTAAAGAAATGTGAGGCAAATCAGTGGATCTATGTGTAGGAACAACCCCCACAAGCGGCCATTTTTAAATAATAATAAATAGTAAAATGGTCCTTCATTATATTTTTCCTCTATAATTGCAGATAAGGATTTGGTTAGGATAGGCAATTTTTTTTTTTTTGGCAAAGTTTTCTTTGTGGTTTTCTCATCTTCCTCTGAAGAATTCCCCTAAGCACTAATTGTATCTAAAACTATGTGTAGCAGAGCTCCTTTCTTATCTTATATAGTATTAAACCAGATATCCACTTTCGTTTCTAACAAAGGGATTATGAGTCCTTCCTCACTTCTGCTCTAATAATCATGCTTCCCCTTAAGGCTGGGTTCACACCTGGGTGTTTGTATCCATTAGGATACAGCCGGATAGCTCTCGTAAACGTTTGACGTGCGTTTCGTGAACCGCAAATCGCGGTAAAAACTCACGGCCCGAAACCAGCGTCATATGCGCATATTACGAAAGCCCGGGTATGAACCCAGTCTAAGTATGCCCTTACTTCACTTTCTGAACACTTATTGTCACACTTGCAGACATTTTCCATTGGCTGCACTCCAGAACACTCCTCGCAGAAACTTTGTCCATTCCTCTGGTCTCCTGGCTGTTCTAGTACACATCTCAATTCTTACAGTGTCCACTCTTCTGCAACATGCCCCCCCACCTACCTAGAACATTCATTAACTTCTCATTTTCACACTGGCTGGTCTTCCTAATGGTCCACTGCACTCCTCACCTCTCATAACCTGGGTCTCCTCCTTCACCACCTGTCATCCCTCTTCATGAAATATCTCTAAACTCCTAAGATCCTTGCTGTCCATTTTTCTGGATATCCTTTTACTACACATTTTCTGCAGCTTGTCCTCTCTTGTTTAAACTCCTCCAAAGTTTCTTAAATTCTGCCCTCCTAACTAATCCCACTATATGCCTCACCTCTGCAAACCCTGTGCACTGCTCCACAAAATGTTAGCGGTCTCCTTGTTACATTTCTCAACTCTTGCTCATTTCTTGCGCATTCTCCTGGTTGCTCCATTTCTCTGCTCCCATACCCCAACTTGTATCTGTTCCAACTTCCAAAAGTTGGAACAGGTGCCCCTGCACCTAGAATGTCCCCGTTCATAGATGAGCACACTGCTGTTAGTAGGGATGCACCAATACCGGTTTTCAAGTATCGAATACCAATATTTTTGTTTTGGTACTCGCCGACACCGAGTACTGATACCGGAATCCCGAGGTAGCATGGGCCCGGCTTCCTGGCCAATCAGGATCCTGCTTCACACTCCCTCATGATACTTAGGGAGCCTGGCTTCCTGACCAATCAGGAAGCTGGAAGGTGGGTCATGACCTGCCGCTCGGCTTCCTGATTGGTCAGGAAGCCAGGCTACCCTGCAGTGTCGCTAGGCAGCATGACGCCAGCTTCCCAGCCAATCAAGAAGCTGGAAGGTGGGTCATGACCTGCCGCTCGGCTTCCTGATTGGTCAGGAAGCCAGGCTACCCTGCAGTGTCGCTAGGCAGCATGACGCCAGCTTCCCAGCCAATCAAGAAGCTGGAAGGTGGGTCATGACCTGCCGCTCGGCTTCCTGATTGGTCAGGAAGCCAGGCTACCCTGCAGTGTCGCTAGGCAGCATGACGCCAGCTTCCCAGCCAATCAAGAAGCTGGAAGGTGGCTCATGACCCACCCCCGGCTTCCAGATTGGTCGGGAAGCCGACTCCACCCTCCCTCTGTATTGCGTATCTGAGCCTTTGAGCAAGTACGAGTAAATGCTCAGTTTCGGTATCGGTGAATCCCTAGGTGTTAGTTTTGGATAAACCATAACCTACACTATTGAAATCTATACTTTGGAGTCCCTGTAACAGTTCACAAGATGCATTTATCTCCAAACTTTCTTCCTCTACCCAGCCATTAGTAGCCGCATAGACTGAAGCTTACAGCACCCATAACTCTTGCCGAGAAACACCTAGCTCTTCTGTGTCTTGTGAGTCTGACAAAAACAGACTGATCATAATAACACAGATGGTGGTTGATAGATAGAAGGTCCTTTCATTTGGATATGGTTCTAACGGCATATTATCTGCTTCACCTTTAGTAGTTGTTAGTGAGCCAAGGGAGAAACATATTTTTTTCGGAATTGCATAGCTCTTTATTTGATTCTGATTAGTCTGGTCTTTTCCTGTGAGACTGTCCACATAAAGGTCAAAAAACAGACACAACGTGAACAGGCATCTATTAGCTTCAAATCATATTAAACATCCGCTCAAGGCACGGTGTATCATATTTGTTGGACTTGCCCTGGAATTAGACCTTTTTGGACTATGGTTCACAATACACTGACTGACCTTCCTTTCTTCATCTGTCCCCTCTGATCCAATATATCTTCTGTTGGGTCTTCCCTTCCCACGTCTGAACAAATATGATAGGAAACTAGCTTCTCATATCCTCACTGCAGCTTGTTTCATTGCGTTACATTGGAAAAAACCTATATCTCCCTCTTCCCTAGACCTCTATGCTCATATTAAAGCAGTAAGAAATATGGAGCTACTGACAGCTTAAACAACACTTTATCATTGTTTGATAACATTTGGGATCCATGGGATGCTCCAGACCTAAGTTCTGAGGTGTTGTGATATCTGTTTGTTTTTTTGGGGGGGGGTTTTCTTTCAGGGTTCGACCAGCTGTGCTCCTCTTCTCTTTCCTCTTCTTCTCTTTCACTTGACTTAGTGTTCTTACCGTTATGCAACTTATTTAACATTTATGATAATGTTACCAATGTATTACTATTGCTCTGGTTTTCAGCTTTTTGAACATACAATTCATAACATGTCACTGTATGTCTATTTACAGACCGAGCTGCTTTATTTACGATCTTTCTGCCATCTGGAGGTTGACTTTCTTCCACAGCATTGCTGTATTGTTCTCGATTGATATACTTTAATAAACATGGCATTCTTTTAAAATAAATATATATAATATTAATGATAAGCTCTGTGCATCTGATAACCTCCTCATGTTCTCTTTCAGTTTTTAAATATTTGTCTGACAAGTATTTGCAAAGGCTAAAGCAACAGACGGCGGAAGACACAGAAGTTGTGCACACAAGTGGCAACAAAATAGGTAATTATCACTGTTAATGAATTTCATAAGGAGACCACTCGGGTGACTGGCTGTTCAGCTTAAGTTGTATTGAAAAATGTGGATTGCTGACTAACCCTTTTTTTATGACCAGCTGCATGCTGTCAATGTGCTTCTTTTTGTGCAAGGGACAGTGGCAAGCAAGCAAGCTTGTCTGTAAACAATCCTGTGGTCCCCATGATTTCCTGTCATGGTGAGCACGTTATCAGGAACCAATCAACTTGTTGCCCTACTGTTAGTGTGAGTCCAGGGCCAGTCCCAGAACCAAAGGTAAGCATATCTGTACGCCTGTAGTTCTGAAGTAGATTGTAAATTAAGGTTCTCTCAGTGAGGGGTACCTTTCATTTACAGATGGCTGAAGCCAGTTAACAGGTGAATATAGGTGAAAATGTTTTACAGATTGCAGAACCCAGTTAAGAATAGGTGATTGATTAATAGAGCGTTAAAGTGACACTAAACTCAGGAGTTAAACCGAAAAAAAATGCATTCAAGTACCTCAAAAAGAAAAATTGTTTACCTATTTGTGTATCACTCAGCGGTAGATCCTCAAATCATCTCTGAATTGGCGCCGACACTGTCCTTCCTTCTGGTGGGTGGCTACTTTTGTTCCCCATGGTCCCTGTGTGTGTTGTAAAGTAGCCAAGCTCGCTCCCATGATGGACTACAATCTCAATACAAATTTGTAAAACTAAACATGAGATTGTAGTTCATCAAGGGAGTATGTTTGGGGCGGTGGCTACTTTACAACACACACAGGACCATGGGGAACAAAAGTAGCTACCGCTCCAGAAGGAATGACAGTGTCAGTATGAATTCAGAGATGATTTAAGGACTACAGCCAAGTGATACACAATCAAGGTGCAGTATTGTAGTTAAGGTACATGAATTCATTTTTAAGATGTAACTCCTGAGATTAGTGTCACTTTAATTTACACTCCCATGGCCAAAAAAGTAAATTACATAAACTTTATGAATAACATTCCTTCTGTCCTAGTGGCTAGATCATTCTTTAAGACTGTGGATATAGATACTCTATACACGCATGCACACAATACTGTGCAAACGTTTTAGGCACTTGTAAAAAAAAAAGTGCCTTCAAAACCTACACGGAGCATAAATAAGGAAAAACAACTATTTGTGGTGTCCACCCTTTGCCTTTAAAACCTCATTAATTCTCCCACTTCCTGCTATACGCTTACAGTGCAGAGCCGCTCTGTAGCCGGAAAAGATCCCGACAATATTGTTGGGTTCCACCCTGCTGCCTGATTGACAGTTGGCTCTGCCTCTCTAGAGCCAGATCCAGCTGTGCCCGCCCCCTCCCCTGTCTGTCCCTTCAGTCCGTACTGGAGGAACGGAGAGGGGAGGGGGGGAAGTCCTGGGGGGAGTGGTACTGACAGTTACTGCTCTCTCCAGCAGGATTGTGATCTCCACGATCTCCGGTATGTGATTGCTCAGTTCTCGATCAATAGAGCCGTCGTGTGACAGCTGCAGGGTCACACATCGGCTCTAATTCTCCTTTAAAAGAGAACTATGGGGGTCACCGTTTAATCTCATCGTTCTCCTTAGGGTCATGGGAGGACATATACTAACCTCCTCCCATGACCCAAAACTCAGTATAAAGTGGGCTATTCCCCGCTATATGCTGAGAGCGCTAAAGCCAATACTGTCGAGATCCACCCCACTGGCTGATTGACAGCGGGCTTCGGCCAACTTTGTCTGTCCCTCCCGTCGGCGCTGGGGGATCGGGGAGGGGGGAATCCCTGCGGGGAGCGGTGGCTGACGGTCACCGCAATTTGCAGGGAGAGGATCGGGAAGTGAGCGAGCAGCGTTATGTGTTTGCTCACTTGCTGATCAGTATAGCCGACGTGTGACAGTTTCAATGTCACACGTCGCCTCTAACTGAGGATGAGTATCATTCACTCACCCTATAGTTCTCCTTTTAAGGATTTGGCAACCATATGGGCCAGTGCATGATTAAATAATGATACCAAACTGGTGATAATGCTCAACAAGATAAGATGTAGGTTAAAGTACAATAAACAAATCAAACAGAATGAACTGTCCAGTGGCAGCATAAACTCTACTAGATTGTAAACTCTCACAAGCAGGGCCCTCCTACCACCTGTACCTCCTCCTGTTAACTATATTGTCTCCCTCAGTTTTGTAAAGTGATGCACAAACTGTTGGTGCTATATAAATCATGTATAATAATAAACGCAGCCTTGGCAGAAACTGGTGGGACCCGGGTACGTCCATTTACTGTCTAGAGAAATCTGGTCAGAAGTGGTCTTCATGGGAAAAAAAACCTACTTCTGACATGGAAACAAGGCTAAGCGACTTACCTATGCACAAGAATTGGTTGCCGGTGCCCTGGAATGAGGAGTTCAAATGTATAATATTTGGCTGTAACAGAAGGCAGATTGTTCACCAAAGGCCTGTCCAAGTATCTGCAGGCAACAGTGAAGCATGGTGGTGATTCCTTGTAGGTTTGGGGCTGTGGTAGTTCTAGATGTTTGAAACAACCTACCTGCTGAGTTCCTTAAACAGCTGTGTGCAGGTGGACCTCGGAGAATTGATTTTGTTTTATAGGCAAATATTGATTTTGTTTTTTGCTTTTTATCCTTTTTATGCACTTTGTAGGTTCTTTATTTGTAAATCTTCTGATAATAATCTCATTTACCAGTGCTGTTGTATGTATCATCTCTATCTTTTCAGGGGTATTTAACACAGCAGGTGGCAGCCACTCTGGCCTGAAGGCAGATGCTATGAATGGAGGAAATGTGATCACTCTAAGGCCAAACAAGCAGAGGACCAAGAAGAGCAAAAGTCCTTTCAGCAGTTGTACCCTGCTTTAGAACTGTTCTGTATAGATAAAAAAAGAGAACTGCAAAATCGGGGACTACAGTGCAATTACTCTTCTAATACAGGAATACAGCCACTTCCGGAAACAAAATCAAAGTAAGGGTTACCTCAGAAGGATTATGTGGACTCTTAGGCCACCTAGTGTTTGACATTGGTATGACAATTTACAAACTGTTAAAAACAGAGAAAATAATGCTGCCCAGTTATTTTATTTTTGTGATTGAACAAACCCATAAATTGGTACTAACTAGTATTTAAAGTGAATTAGCTATTTAATATAAGAGATTATAAACTTAGTTGCAAATACCATGCGATAACATGGTAAACACTACTTGGTACTTGTGCAATATTAATCTAACACGCAAGATATTTCCTACAGTCTTTGAATAATCCCATTAGGGATGTTCATCACATTTTACATTCAAGCTGACACTTATAAAAATATTTTCATATTTTAATATTGGATTATAAACGGATGTGCTGATATAAATGTTTTAGGACCTTAATCAATAAACTGATGTGCATCGTGCCAAACTGCTTGACATTGCGCTGCTAATGTAAGTTTTGGGATTTTTTTACATTCCTGTTCATCAAATGTATTCACACTATACACACTGTAGTAAGAGGGAGGCGTGAGGTAGTTGGCATACTGCAGACTGATAACAAAAAAGTCTCTTTAATAATTATCCTGTCCAATTCCAGAAGATGCTTGTAAGACATGCTGGTAGATACGTGTGAGAAGTCACCAACTTGTGATGTCTCCTATTGATCTGTTGTACAAGTACCAACAGGGCTTCTAGTATTGTAAAAAGCAATCCAATTGACTGGGAGGTCTTGTTTAGGGATGTACTAGTGACCGGCAGTGTCGCAAGGGAACATGAAGCCGGCTTCCCGGCCAATCAGGAATCCGGGCAGCTAATGACTCGCCGTCCGACTTTCTGATTGGCCGGGAAGCCGGTTCCATCCCGATTTTGCCAGGAAGCCGGTTCCATCCCGATTGGCCGCCTCAATGCTGATTGGCCTGGAAGCCGGCTTCCCAGCCAATCAACATCGATAGGTGATGACCCACCTCTCGGCTTCCTGATTGGCTGGGAATCTGGCTCGATGCTGATTGCCTGGGAGGCCGGCTTCCTGGCCAATCAAGAACAAGCTGGTAATGACACGCAGCCTGACTTCCTGATTGCCTGGGAAGCCTGCTCCATGCTAGTGGAAGTACCGTTATCGGTGAGTACCGAAATATAGATATCGGTACTCGATACCGAAAGACCGGTATCGGTGCATCCCTGGTCTTGTTCATTGAAAGTAATCATGCAGGTGATTGGCGTTGGCTGTAGATAATATATGCAGTCCAGGTCTACTAGAAATGATTCCCATTGCTCATACAAACACATAATGAACTGTGACCATCGTTGCAGACACCTCTACATTGATAGAGGAGAAAGTACAGGTCCAGCAAAGCAAATGTTCCCCAACAATAGCTGCTCATCTCCTCAATGAATATTCTCAATATTTTACAGGATGAATGACGGTCACCAGTATCTGTAGCCATGTTTTAAGGATTTGTTTCCTGAAACTGGCGGGCTGTTCATACACTTTGTCTTTCTGGCACTCCAGGGGTAAAATCTACCTATAAAAGTGGGCGCCTTTCACCATGTAGTGTCAATCCTCCTGTTGTGTTGTTCATCATGTAAAGAAAAACCCATCTGGGAGATCCCCAGTCATACCTGCAACAGGGGGAGTGATCTAGCAACTTCAATGTAAACATCTTGGAGTCCATAAGGGAATGTATCATATTGGTGGGTACTACTCACATCTGCAATGTTCATTTTTGGGGGACTCTTCATATCAGACATTCCCTTTATCTGTCTGTCTTACAGATGTTTTGTGTCACATTGCGCGGCCTCTCAAACGGCCTGATTAATTTACTGTTCTTGTAAAACCTTCTCATGGCTTTTAGTATAGTACTCTACATGTGTATTACTTTACAACACAGTCTGATATGAATTCTGGCAAATTGCCCTCAGTCATTCTCAGATTATGATGTCTCGTCGTAGATCCGTCCTGTATACACTATACATAGAAATAATATAATGAGGTTCATGCCGAAGATGGAATCCTTTGGCTGGACCATCACCTTACTGCAGCTTGTTTGCATCAATAGACTTTTCGATTCTCCACTATCAATGCCTCTTTGTGACAGTGTATATGAAATATGTCTGTGTGGTTGGAGAGTGGCTGCATATGCTGAATAATATATAGGTAATTGAACACACTGGATAGAATCTAATAACTTCTTTCCATTGGATGATATTTGGAAACACAAAGGCCTTCCTGTTCAATAATATTAATAGACTTGTTAATCTTAGAGTCTTCATAATGCTAGTTGCAGTGAAAACCAGTGCAGGACTACACCATGGCTTTGTAAATATGACCCGGCCGTATAAAGAGAGACCACCAGAACCTAATGGATAAATAGGCTTTCCATCAACATTAGAATTGCGCTAGCTTCTGAAGTACACATAGCAGTGCTGAGTGTTTACATTACATCCAGGAGGGCGTACGGTTACCTATATGTTATTTCTTTGCCAGCGTTTGTCTATAGGCAGCCAACTTAAAAGTTAAACATGGCTGATGCAAAGACAAACCTCAACTCAGGTGCACTTTATTTACTGCATTCCAAACCAGCCCACACGTCAGCCTGGAGTATGCGGGGCCCAGTACTTTCTGCATGTACAATATCCGTGTGAGAGCTGTTAGTCCATTATTATCCACAATACAGTCAGTCGTGTTTTAAAGAGTTTCATATTCAAATGAATTATTAGAATGGTTTGGAGCAGAATCCAAGTTTGCGTGTCTGTATATTAAACAATGGAATATTTGTTTATTATCTTGTATAAAATAAACCACTTTGAAAAACTGACCCACTTGGCTGTAACTTTATTCATTTGTACCATGCAGACTCCATACTAAAAAGGAACCGCAACTTCTTAGGGTTAAAGTGACATTAAAGTCAAAAAAATGTTTCCCTCCCCCGCCAATGTTAATGTTACCTTAAATGATGTCTCTTAATCCGATCTTCCTCTTCTTTCCTGTCCTTTTCATCTGTCCCTCCTGCGGTGCGACGGGTGTACGATCCAGCGCTGTCCTTGCTGGCACTTCCTGTCCCACGGTGTCTGCACGCGTCCATAGACTTACCTTGTGTCTCTCCTCGTCTCCCGGCCGAACATCCGAACTGCACATGCGCCCGCCCCAAGATGCTTTGCGGCCGCCCGAGTAGTTTTGGATTCTCGGGCGGGACAAATTTAAACCGCTGTTAAAGTGTTTTTAAAAAAAAAATCTTTTTGCATATATCTATTGCTTGCCAGCAGTAGGTATAGGCAAAAAAAACCGGAGCTTTAGAAACCCTTTAAAGAAGAACTCCAGGAAAATTATTTTTCTGCAATAGGGCTACCCCCACACTGCAAGGGTTTAAGTGCTTGTTTGTGACCTAGGTTTAAAAAAAAAAAACGTTATGCTCACCTGATGCTCTGAGCTGGACCGGTCCTTTCCAGTGTCTCTCCCCCTACTCTGCAGCAGTCTATGGTCCCGTAAATCATCATCGGGAGGCTGAGGAAGATTCTAATGCTGCTGTGGAGGAGGAGACAGGTTGGAGGGAGCGCTGTGACAGCTGGCGGGCTCGGAGCTTCGGGCGAGTGTATCTTATTTATTTTTGTCCCTAGACACAAACAAGCACTTAACCCTTGCAGTAGAGGGGTAGCCCAACTGCAAGGGTTAATTAAGTTTTCCTTTCTTTAAATACAGATAGCAGTAGTATTAGTAATGCACCCTAAAGAAGCAATGCGTAAGGATAAAGATGGAACTAGGATTGTAACTAATGTGAGGTGTTATCTCGGCAGCGGGTGTGTGTGACTCCCTGGATGAGTTTACGCCACAGGAATTAGCCACGGCAAAACAGGATTTCTTCAGGTGAAGCACACGGGCAGTTTATTTACAAGGACAATTTGAGCAAAACTTGAAAATAAACCCTTTCCTTTTGGCCACTAACTACACACTGTTTCCCTCGCTAACAGCTAGGTGCAACCTTGTGCTGCCCCTAGCACCTATCTCCCTTTTCAATAAACTGCCACACATTTTAGTAATTACACCAGCCATGGAAGGATGGGAACTTGTGCGCTGCCATGAAGATGGACCAGGAAAGATTACTGACCGCTAAATATATCATTTTCCTGGAGTGTCATGGAAATAGTGTTCACAAGGGAGGGATGCTGCTAAAAGAATTTAATCACAAGACAAAAACAACTTAAACAGAATAAATGGAGGCAATTACATTCTCACCGTAGGCTAAAGTGACGAGAGCTGCTGGGTCCACTCCGTAGTGACTAACAAATGTGGCTAGAAGTCCAGGTAGCCATTTTACAAACAGTTTAAGCTGATGCTCTTGAGAAGGCTGCCCATGTTGCTGCCAGTGCCCGGGTTGAATGTGGCCACA